TATGAGGAGAAGGAGGAGGAGAAAGGAAGATGAATGATAAAACATACATTGCACAGATGGCAAATTAGAAACAGCGTATACGATTTGGCTTATTTCAAAACAAGACTGGAAGAGAACAGAGAAACAGGACGGATTTTATGAAAGGGATGGCAGAAGCCTGAGACACATCGTGGAGTGATTCTAGGCAGTTAGGAGACTGCATAGACTGGTGGCCCAGAGGCCCTAGAGGCACACAGGAAGTAAAGGCAAACATATTGTGTCGACACTTTTTTCACCGCTCCTGTCCCTCCACTCTTTAAAACAGGTACAAACCCAGTGAAGCCTCTGAAACTTACCCGAGCAAGCCAGGAAAGTTCCAGGCAATCCTGCCTCCCACGTGATCATTTCCATGGAGAAGAGTTAAAACTCACAAAGAAAGAAAGAATAACTTAATCAGTTTTACTTAATTCAAATATTCTATGACTCTGAGATTTAAAAAAAAAAAAATTTTACTCACCGAGTCAGTTTCTTCTGATGGCAGCAGTCAAAAGCTAGAAACTTTTTTGTATTTTCCACTGCCATTATTTTCTGCAAAAGCTTCACTAGCTTTTGCAGACTAATAAAAGAGAAACAAGGAAAAAGAAGGCAACTATAATTCTTCAATATTTTTGTATTGAAGTTTCAACATATGGATTAAATTGTGTAATTTGTAATTCCACACTGACCTGAAGAAAAGTGACAGGTCATTTTTATCCCTTTAAATAGGAAATTATTAATATCCCTTGTTCAAGAATAAATTTAGCATGAGAATAGTCCCAAACAGAGTTGTAATATATGTTATATACTATTATCTCGCTAAATCTTTCTTCAGCTTCGTTTAATATTTCATAACTAGTTTATGAGTAGCCTAAAGGTCCATCATGAAATTATAGTTTCAGACATTTCAGGATTGATACTTTATATTTTTTATTATGGTCCACTATTATTCCTGGTTTCAAACAAGTAAAACTTGCTTGAGATTCAACAACAGAATAAGTGATAGGCTGAATTTTATGACAATATTTATACAAAATCATTTCTAAAGCCAAATCATCGCATTGTGGAAAGGAAAAGCCACCATATGGTGGTCTTCCACCAAAAAATGCATATTCTTTGTCACTTCATTATTAATGCAGTATATCATCTAGAAATAACTCTGGTCAGCTTCCACTGAGGAAAGAAGAATTATCAAACAACTCATTCCGTTATTACAGTGCTCACTTAAAAGTGCTCTCGATGGGACAAAGTTCAAATATGAACCAATGGCTAAATGTCGAAGTCAGGAGCAAATATATGGTCAACTTCCACCCCTCAATAGAGAATAAAGTCCAAGGCCAAGAAAGCATCAGTACCAGAGATGTACTGAGACAGAAGCAATAGAGCATGAAGTCACAGACCACAAGCACTTTGGCAGCTTCAGAAGAGATCTGACCAGCATGTGAAACAGTAAACATCACTTTCAATACAAAGTTTACTTTAAAAAATAATGGTGACCAGGGGGTTAAATTGGTATATTTATGTGACTTCAAACCAGAAGCTATGCTGAAGAAGCTATAAAACAGACTTGGAGGGAAAGTAGGGACCCCATCACTTTCGCTCCAGGAACGAGGAAACCCCAGTCGACACTGCAAGAGGTCTGCTGTGATGCCCATGGAAACAAAACATGGCAGTGTGTGGTGCCTGAAATCTGGAATTCTGCAAAATTACCTTGTCTAGTTCCTGTGGTGAAAATCCATCTTCCCCACCCCCACACACATGCATATACACACCACCCCACTTCTACAAAATAAATCAATAAAGGCAGACCACATTATAATACCACAGTCCATTTTCTTACTCATCTCAGAGGGAAATTATTTTCCATGATCAGCAATGGTGTGAGACAACCTTATCTTGGTTTCAATAGCTTTATTCTCAGGTCTAGACCTTTGCTTCTTAATTCTCTTTTTTCTCTCTGTATTGTTTCTTCACCAATATTTATCAAGCCTCTTCATCTTCTGAAGGAGCATCTGAAGTTGGGAGAATCTAATTCATCTGTAGGTTCATCTATATTGTGTTGAGTAGGAATGAGAGCTTTAAAGTTGGTACAACCAGAAAGTTTCTTCGCTTTTTGTTTTTACTGTTTGTTCTTTCATTCAACAACATATATAGAGAACAACTGACATATTTTACAAGGTGCAAGCCAATATTTTTTCTATATGATTATCGAACAAATCTATGAAATATAATTATCTAACAACTGGGTTTTACAGCTAAAATATCCTGAGTCTTTTCTTTTTTTTCCTTTTTGAAAATTTTTTTATACAGCTGAGCACAATGCTACAGTTTCAGGTGGCTACAACACAGTGATTCAACAACTTGGTAGCAGGCTATGCTCACCACAAGTATAATCACCTGGCCTGTCACCATACAATGCTGCCATGTCATTGACTTGTTAATTCATACAAGCAAAGTGCCCTTTATCCCATGAGACTTAATACTCATAATTGGAAGCCTGTATCCTCCCACTCCCTTCACCCATTTTGCCCATTCCCTAACCCCCCCTGGTTTGACAAACCATCACTTTGTTCTTGTATTTACAGGTCTTCCTGTTTTTGCTTGTTTGTTTGTTTATTCATTTTTGGTTTTGGGATTGCACATAGTAAGTGAAATCATATGGTATTTGTTCTTTCAGCCTGACTTACTTTAATTAATACCCCTCTAGGTCCATCCATATTGGCCAAAGATAAGATTCTCATCATTTTATGGTTTTATAAATTCCTTCTCTGTGTGTGTGTGTGTGTGTGTGTGTGTGTGTGTGTGTGTGAGAAAGAGAGAGAGGAGAGAGAGAGAGAATGTACAACATCTTCTTTATCCATTTATCTAGTTGATGGACAATTGAGCTGCTTCTGTTATCTTGGCTATCGTACACACTACAATAAATATGTATATCTTTCAAATTAACATTTTCATTTTCTTGGGTAAATACCCAGTACTAGAATTCTCGATCATATGGTATTTATTTTTAATTTTCTAAAAAACTTCCATACTGTTTTCTTACAGTAGCTGTACCAATTATGTTCCCCACCAACAGTACACAAGGGTTCCTTTTTTTTTCTCCACATCCTCACAACACTTTGAAATAACTCTGTTCACTAAATAGCTACACAATTATGGTATTGAACCTCATAGGTGGGTCTTATCTCATTTTCAATCCTTAAAATATTTCTCCTTATCTTCCTGGTATACCTCTATATATTCATAAGTAAGGAATAGTGAATAAGACAAAGACTCTATCCAAAACTGTTTCAGACTAAAAAAGAGAAGGCATGTGAAGCTATTTGTGAAATCTGTTGTTAAAATGTAACCTGTCAAGAAATGAAATGATTCCAACACAGAGAAACAAAATTCATAGAAAGCACTCTATGTAACTAGACAGCTTTTATCTATGCCCCTCCCATTTGTTCTATTTTTTTTTTAAAGTACTAAAATGATAATATAGCAACTTATTTAAAGCATGCTCTTTAGAACTTTCTTCACTCAAGTTTTTTTTTTTTTTTTTTTTTTAATGCTTATTTATTTTGGGATGAGAGCATGAACGGGGAGGGGCAGGAGAGAGGAGAATGGAAACAGGTTCCAGGCCTGAGCCATCAGCCCAGAGCCTGATGCTGGGCTCCTAACTCACGACCATGTGAGATCGTGACCTGGCTGAAGTCGGACGCCCAACCGACTGAGCCACCCAGGCGCCCCTCTTCACTCAAGTTTTAACTTATGATTAATGATAATGTTAATAATAGCAGCTAACATTTATAGAATTATCTGATATGCTCAGTGTTAAGGGCTTGATTTACAGGCATTGTGTCATTTAATCCTCATCATAATCCTGTCAGGTAGTATAGTTATTGTCCCATTTTACAAATTAGTAAACTGAGAATAATTTGTAACTGAGTTACATACACGTCCAAGATGATATAAGTAGTAAATGGCAGGGCCAGTTTCCACCCAGATCTGTCTGATTTGAGAGTCAAAACTGTTCACCACCAGGTAATATGTCCTCTGTGAAGTCTGATGAAAGATGTTAATCTGGCAATGAGCATAAATGCTCAAATACTGAAGTCTCAGCCACTCCAGTTTAGGAAGTGGCATATTATGCTAAGAAAGACCAAATTTTGCAACTTTTTAAAATCCAAAGAGTCCAGTGTGTTTCCCTATAATGTACATCACTTTCTCTTCAAGGAAAAGGGGATATTTTCAGAAGGGAACTAGCTCATCCAAAAAGAATACTGATCTTATTGATAAGGAGGCTCTAGAGATCTTGTTGCTTACATATTTCACATGCAACAGCCTTTAGTTATAATTCCCAAATGCCAATCCTTGCACTCCATATACAGAGGTGGTCTATACAGCAGACATCTGGAAGTAACTCATGCAGTTCCAAAACAGTATAAATAATTTCAGTGTAAACTGGGCCAATAGCTAATCGCAACTATAATGCCTCATTTCCTGATAACTATAATCCTGAGTCACCAGGCCCAATTTTGAGAGCGAAACTCATCCCAAATATACTCTTAAGTCACCATTTCTCAAAGTTTATGACCTCAGCTTCCCTTTACAACCTTAAACATTATTGAGAACCCAAAGTAGCTTTTATGTTATATCTATTGATAATTACCATGTCGGAAATCAAAACTGAAAAATATATATTTATTTATTCATTTAAAAATAATAAACATGTTATTAGTAATTACATGCTAACATAAATATAACATTTTTATGACAAGTAAGTATAGACTCCAAAAAAATTAAGAAGGGCATTTTTTTAAATGTTTAATATCTAGCTGAACAGAAAACAGTTGGATTCTTATATCTGCTTGTATAATCTATTGCAATCTCTTGTTTCAGTTAGAATGTATGAAGAAAATCAGGCCTCATACAAATATGTATTTGGAAAGGGGAAGAGAAATTTAATAATCTTCTCAGATAATTGTGGATATTCTTCTTCGATACTACATCAAAACTCAACAAGGGGTGGTTTCTTAAAGAGTGGTTGTAATGTGAAATACGTAACTCTATCAGTGAGCTTTTTGTATTTGTTCCATTAAAATCCATGCATCTATCATTTGTGCTGAATGGATCTTTTACCCTTCACTGGTCATTTGGAAAATAGTGGTTCACTGACTTACGCAGACCTTCAAAATGTTAACACGTTTCAGGATACAGTATTTTTTATTTATTTATTTATTTATTTTATTTTATTTTTTTAACGTTTATTTATTTTTGGGACAGAGAGAGACAGAGCATGAACAGGGGAGGGGCAGAGAGAGAGGGAGACACAGAACCGGAAACAGGCTCCAGGCTCTGAGCCATCAGCCCAGAGCCTGACGCGGGGCTCGAACTCACGGACCCCGAGATCGTGACCTGGCTGAAGTCGGACGCTTAACCGACTGCGCCACCCAGGCGCCCCAGGATACAGTATTTTTAAAAAATCACATTTGTTCATATTGCCATCAAATTTTATCGGAAAAGTCTAAGTCTTGGAAAGCTGTCAATCTCACAGTGGCAATCTACACAAGTTTTCCAAAATTCTAATTTTCACTTGAAAGTCCAAATTTTATCACTGACGAAAGATACTGTCGATTATTTTCCTTGAAACGACATGCTCATTTCATCTTTAAAAAAAAAAAAAAATGACTTCCAACTACCCAAGTCTGAATGATACTAGTTGGTCCGTCAGTCATTCTTTCACGTAAGAATGATGCTCCGTTAAAAAGCGGCCAGCTCGGTTCTCGACTTAAACTATCATACGAGTACTGTTCCTCAACACAAACTTCCCATTTTGGTGTAGAGCAGAGTTGCTATATACATACCTCCCATTTTACCTCACAGGCAATTAAACAGATGTGTATTTCAAGTCCAGGTTTCATGAGATTAACGATTTCTACTGCTCCACCAAAGATGTTCTTGAGTGACACAGGCTATTTCTTTTCCCTCCCAGTGGCTGGTCACCAAGAACACAATGACCGGCTAGTACAATGCGATACGCTGCCTGGATTCGTGCTAACACAGGAGCAATTTTACTCACCGTCGCTTTTGTGCCGTCACCGCAAATGTCCACGTAGTGGGCGGAAAGGCAGGTATCATTATTTCAGTATTACGATGAATTATATTACTGATATATCAATATTATGAGGAAAGAAGTTTTTACTTTGCAAAATTCCTAAAAGGGGCTCAGCAATCCCCCAGGGCTCTGCACACCACATTTGGAGACACGCTCTCCACTCTGACCAGTATTAATTTAATAACCAGGGTGGGAAAAAAGGAGTCTTTTAAAATCCAAAAGTTACTAAGATCAAATGGGATTATCCTGAAAAAGCATTTAGAAATTACGGGATACATTTTATTGTATCATTGAGACATCAAAAATATCAATAAATCCTGTCATAAGTGGCAGAAATACTTCCTACTTGATTAACGTGAAATGCCCCCAGTAACGATTTCATTAAATGAAAATTTTATTATTTTTCTACGTGTTTTTAAGGACTCAGTACTATTCTAAACAAAAACTGGTGCTCACAAAGGTATACCTCTTTTTTTCACTAGTATTTCTTTAGCTGATAAAAAACAGATGTAACTCTAATATTTTAACTATAATATCTGTAATTATCATTAGCCTATCACCTGGTGAGTATCCTACCTGCACATCCAGGGATTATCTGATGTTGAACCAAGTTCAGATCTTCATCTGACCCTTCTTCAGCCAATTTTGGTTTCTCAGAATCATTTTCCCCTTTATCATCATTATTGTTTCCATTTTCCTCTGCATTACTCCTCTCAGAGTGGCCCTTTATACCAGAGTTCAACTTGATTGCAGTATCAACCTAAACATTATTTCCAAAGAAATAATTTTCATAAATAGGTAAGGTTTTAAAACCTTAGCATTTGTAGACTATTTTAACACTAACGTAAATACATGCAAGGACATACACACATACATACGCTAGTGTTAAACTATTCTAGAAACAGAACTTTTAATTAACTGTAGGTTAATTACACAAATATAGTAACATTTGCACCAAAAAGATATGCCCCATTCTCCGGCAAGTTCCAGCGATAATGGAGAAGGGTCAGGAATCCATCCCAGAACCCCTCTCTGCCAGCTCTGGACATGAGGCATGATGGTCCCTGCTTCTGGAGCTTACACTCAGATGGAAAGTCAAAGGTCTAGAGCTGCGCTCCCATACAATGACCACCAGCCACATGTGGCTATTGAAGAGTTGGGAAGCAAAGAGTCCGAATCGAGATGTGTTTCTAATGATATTCCTCAAGTCAGAACCATGTGCTTTGGTAATTATTTTTATGCTATTCACAATTTTTCTGTCATTTTGGTTTCTCTTTCCATTTCAGCAATGCTCATTTTGAAAACACCAGTTTGGCACAGCTGTGTTTTCCTGAGAGAGAGCAAGAAAAGACATCCACGGCTACATCAGGAAAAAGCAGGGATCGTAGTGCCCTGACAGCCATGAGTGGCAGTGAGAGTTACATTAGAAGTGAACATAGTCCAAGAGAGAGGCAAAACCTCAGAGAGATTCAGCCCGTCTGGAAGGAATGCATTTCCCCTCCCAATGGAGGAAACCTCTGCTCCAGGCCATCAGGGCTCGGCCCTTGGAGGGTGGTCAACTCTCGGCCACTGGAATCTGTGTCCCCTTGTGAATCTTCAGGGCAGAAGGTGGATCGTGTGGAGAATTAAACTGCCAGGGATACAAGACTGCACGCGAGCATCTCTGTTTACCTAGACTAGTATATAAGTCCCAGCGGAACTGAGCTGAGTCAGTGGTATAATGATCAGAGCCAACATTTACTGAGGAATTCCTACTGGCCAGGGCCTGTGCTAAGTACTTTATACACACGGCCTCATTCACTCCTCAACGACACTATGGTATAGGTATTACTAGATCCAGCATAGAATGAAACTAGCTGAGGCCCAATTTATAAACAAGCAAAACAATGCCTCCTCTATGTGATCTGGGAGGTGTTAAAGAGGGTTCCCTGTTCAAAAACATACTCTGTGAAAGGCCAGGTTAAAGCCTTAAATTCCGTAATAACCAGTAAATCCTTAAGGCTATAGAGTTCTGTGAAAATCTTGAAATAGCTAGAAGATGATGCTTATTTATATCTTGGCATAAATGAACTTGGCTGACTTTTCCCTGAGAACGGTTCTTATATAGGGAAATATAGAATATATAACACATAACTAGATATTAGCAACATACTTGGATAGCACACTTCAGGACACAACAAGACTCTCACATATATCATCCCACATGATTCTAACTCTTAGAATGAGCAGGAAGCAATGAAGTAAAAAGACAAAACTGAAGAACAAATGGCAATCTTGGCCCATTTTACAATTTTACCCAAATTTCCCCACTTCATTAGCACCAACCGTCTTTAGTTTATTTGAAAATAAACTAAAAAGAGCTTCCGGAAATTAAAAAGATATCATTAAATTTAAGAATTCAGTGGATCAAAGAGTAGATGTGACACAGCATAAGAAAGGATTCAAAAAATTTTAAATATATGTTAAAAATCCCCCCAGGATGAAGCACAGCAAAATAAATGAATAGAAAATATTTTTTAAAAAAAAATGAGAGACATAAAGATAGAAGGGAAAGTTTCAAAAAGACACTTAATGTGACTTTCAGGATGATGAAATAGAAAAAACAGTGGGCAATACTAGAAACTTTTGAAAAAAACAATGGTTGAATATTTTTCAAAATAAACAGAACACACAAATCCTCAGAGTGAAGAAGTACTAGTCTCCAGAAGTATAAAATAAACAAATCCATACACCGGTGAGTAATAGTAGATACTGAACACAAAGAGAAAAAAAAATTAAAGCAACCAGAGAAAAGTATCTAAATGAGACAGCCCACAGTGTAATGAATATCGGATTTCCAAAAGCCTTCTCACTGACAACAAGAGAGGCCAAAATCACCTAAATGTAAAGCATAAAACTATAACACTTTCAGAAGAAAACATAGGAAAAAATCTCTGGAACCGTGGGTTAGACAAAGAGTTCTTGGATACAACCGAAAAACAAAAACAAAAACAAACAAAAACAAAAAACAAGTCTCAAAACAATGTTGGCAAATTGCACTTAACAAAATTTTAAATGTTTGCTTTTCAAAACACATGGTTAAAAGAACGAAAAGTCAAGCTACAGACGAGGAAAAAATATTTGCAAATCACGTATCTAAGAAAAGACTCTATCTCAAAAACATAAAGAACTCTCAAAAGTTAACAATAAGAAGACAAAGACAAGTTTGAAAGTTAGGCAAAAAAAGAAAAAATACAATACCTTTTCCAAAAAAGATACGTGCGTTACAAATAAGCACCTGAAAGCTCATTTATCATTATTAGTCACCAGGAAGATGGAAAGAAACCATTAATGATACTCACCATATTCCTATTAGAATAGCTTTTTAAAAACTACCAATAGGCAATTTGCAGAGTTCTACATTTCAGCCAGGTCACGACCATGGTCCGTGAGTTCACACTGCTGTCGGGTTTGGGTTGAGGCTCAGAGCCTGGAGCCTGTTTCCGATTCCCAGTTCCCCTCTGCCCTCCCCCCTGCTCATGCCTCTGCCTCTGTCCCAAAATAAATAAACGTTGAAAAAAAAATTTAAAAAAAAAAAAAAAAAAAAAAGAGAAATAAAAACCTACTCTCCCATAGTAAAAAAAAAAATTCAGATGCACCTGGATGTTCAGTTTACAAAGTCCACCTCAGCACACAGGTCTCATGGTTCCTGAGTTTGAGCCCGGTGCGGGGCTCTGTGCTGACAACTCAGAGCCTGGAGCCTGCTTGGAATTCTGTGTCTCCCTCTCTCTGCCCCTCCCCCATTCTCTCTCTCTCTCTCTCTCTCAAAAATAAATAAACATTTAAAAAGTTTTTAAATAAAAAAAATTCAGTATACAAATATTAATAGCAGCTTTATTCATAATCACCAGAACCTGCAAACAACCCAAATGTTGCTCAACATGTGAATGTGTAAACCAACTGTGGTATATCCACACAATGGATCACTAATCGTCAATAAAAAAGGAGTAACAATTGATATATATAACAATAGAGGAGTCTCAAATGCATTGTGCCAATAAACAAAAGCCAGACTCAAAAGCTGCATACTTTTTAATTCCATTCATATGATTTTCTGGAAAAGGAAAAACAATAGGTACAAAGAACAGATCAGGGGTTTCCAGGATTAAGAGGAAGGGAGATTGAGTAGAGGCAAAGAGGTAGGTAGCATGAAGGAATTTTTGAGGGGTGATGGAACTGTCCTATATCTTGATTGTGATGGTATCACTCTACACATTTGCCAAACTCAGAACTATACACTGAAAAAGAATAAATTTTACAGTGTATAAAAATTTTAAATTAGAAACAAAAATCAACGAGATACAATGTTAACAGTTAAGATTTAATATCGCAAAGTCACAAACTGTCTCCAAATTCATCTATAAATTCAAAGTAATTTCAGTCAAAAGTCCAAGAGTAATGTTTGCAAGGCCTGAAAAACCAATCTAAAATACAAAAAGAACAAAAAGGCCAAGAATAGCTAAGACAGTTCTAGAAAAGAATAAGATGGAGAGACCCATCCTACCACATATCAAGAAATATTACACAACTAACAAGCGTTAACCCACAGTAATGATGCAGGATTAGATGAAACAAAACAGAGAGCTCAGCTAGAAATCGTATTTTAACAAGCCACCTGTGGTTCTGGATGCATGTTAGAATCATCCAGTTTGAGATATCTGCACAAGATTTAGACTGCAGACGTGAGGGAGAAGCCATCTTCCCAAGCTCCTGATAGGAAGGTGGCAAGAAATCTCAAAGGCTGCCATCTCCGTATGTCCAGTCACCAGTTTTGTGGTTCTGAGGGACTTGTGGCAGCGTCAGAGGCAGAAGCTTTCTGATCTCTGGATTACAGCCATGGAGGTGTGACCTAGGAACTAACAATCCAAGAGAAGTTTCCTCCCATGATTCCCTTTCCTGCTGGCCCTCCACTGATGCTGGCCTTCCACTGATTTTGAGAAACTGAATTTCTATTATTTAATCCCTGTCTGCTGGAAATGCCTAGAGTGGTCTCTAGTTCCTGCACTAAATCATAACAAATGCTTTAAGAGTTTCGTAAGGTAGAGTCTGGTCCATAAATCAAAAGAATAAATGAGTGTGGATTCATGAGCCTGCAAAGATTTTTTTTACCATAAGGTTTCAAATTTTTGTTTACCACAAGCTTAAAACTAGCACCACATTGCAGATGAAAAACTGATTCTTAAAAAAAAAACATCAAGTTTAGATATTTTAAGAAAAGAAAAATAAACCACTAAAAAAAAGAAAAGGAAATCATGGCCAGGTAAGGTACCGACTAAATATACATTACATGGTCTTTAACCCGAACTATACTTTTTAAATCACTGAAACTTTTTGGTTAGTATCCAAAATCTATAAAGAACTTATCAAACTCAATACCTAAAAACCAATAATCTAGTTAAGAAATGGGTAGAAGACATGAATAGATACTTTTCAAAGAAGACATCCAGATGGCTAACAGATACATGAAAAGATGCTCAACATCACTCATCATCAGAGAAACACAAATCAAAACCACGATGAGATACCACCTCACACCTGTCAGAATAGCTAAACTTAACGACACAAGAAATAACAGGTGTTGTCGAGGAGGTGGAGAAAGAGGAACCCTCTTGCACTGTTGGTGGGAATGCAAACTAGTTCAGCCACTCTGACGAACAGTGGGAAGGTTCCTTAAAAAGTTAAAAATAGAATTACCCTATGATCCAGCAATTGTACTACTAAATATTTACCCAAAGGATACAAAAATACAGATGTTTGACAATAGTCAAACTATGGAGAGAACAAATGTTATTAGCAGCACTAATAACATTTGTTATGGAGAGAACCCGAATGTCCATCAACTGATGAAGGGATAAAGAAGATGTGGTATATATATATACAATGGAATATTACACAGCCATCAACAAGAATGGCAAATCTTGCCATTTGCAACGACATGAGTGGAGCTAGAGTGTATTTTGCTAAGTGAAATAAGTCACTCAAAGACAAATACCATATAATTTCACTCATATGTGGAATTTAAGAAACAAAACAAATGAAGATATGGAGGTGGGGGAAGAGAGGGAAACAAACCATAAGAGACTCTTAAAGATAGAGAACAAACTGAGGGTTTATGGAGGGAGGTAGGTGGGGGTTGGGCTAGATGGGTGATGGGTATTAAGGAGGGCACTTACGATGAATGCCTGGATGTTATACGTAGGTGATGAATCATTGAATTCTACTCCTGAAACCAATATTGCACAGTA